ATATCTATTTATGTAATATATCTTTCATTCTATCAAATGAGACCAAAAAAACGAGAATACAACCATAAAAACCATATGAAAATACCACGAAGGGGTGGCTAATTGCTGAGAAGTGAACTCCATTATTTATGCTTATATTTCTTTCATTTTTGGTGTACATTGGGAAGCATCTTTCCATCATACATTGCCCAAGTTTCAATAAGATAGTCCAACAAACAAATGAGATACAATTCCCTAGATGAAGAGCAAGAGCCCCTCACCAGCGTCAAGGGACCTACCTTGAGGTCTTCTCGCTTACGGAAATTTTGCTCGCGTATGGACGCAAAAAATCGAACCATCGACTGCTCGTATTTGGAAAAACTCGCATGTGGATGCGCTCGCAAGCAGAGGTTCCAATGTACTAACAGCATAAAAAGTAAAGTAAAAAATTAAATACCAAAATAAAACAATAAAATAAAATCATTACAAAAATGTGATGTTGATATTCAGTGTAAGGTTCGACTTATGTCCATTTTGACTTTTGACTGGTTAGTCGGAACCAAGCTCAGTCGTAAGTCGGATGGTAGGTGTATATAATTACTAATTAAAAAAAAAAATTGTCTTGTGGGGATACAGCCAGTTTGTTGAAAAAAAATTATATTTAATATTATCAATCGACAAAATTTTTCATAATACAATGCACTATAGCATTCTATCCATTACTGTATTGTGCATTTACCTATTACAGCAAAACTTGCCAGATAAAATTAGCAAATAACCTGCCACATCATGTGTACAATTAACCTAAGTTTGACAAACATCCGTTCAGTATAACAGCCATTTAGCTGACCGGTGGCCAGGAGGGCTTTGACGGTGACCTTATGATGTGGTCACTGGGAGAATTTTTGTTTGGTATGGACATGGTGCTCGTGCATTACTATGCATGCATTGTTAAATGCTTCCAAACTACTCTGACCTAGTGTCAGTTTTGTCAGAAAATTATTACAATTATACGAGTATAACCTCTTGATTATAATGCATGCTTCTGCAAGTGCTTGCAGAAGGAATATACTCAAGACAAAGCATGTTTTACAGAGTATTGAGCAAAACATAGGGATTATTAAGCATATTGAACAAGGCACTTCCTTAATGAAACTACTGACGGCAATATTATATGATCTTGAATGCACAATGCTAAGGAAGCCAAGGCCGCAGGAGCATTAGTCGTAAAAGACCAGAATAGTTGTGACTGCAAAAATATAGGCATGTGGGGTTTTTTGAAGTCACGAAAAACTGCATGTACTAGTACGTGGGACACAGTTATCACCTGTGTACTATTACGTTGGACACAAAAGGTTAAAATATATGTAGAATGAGGGTAAAGAAATGACAAAATAACCATACCCAAACTGGCCTTAGTACCAATATAATCTGATTTAGCAAGTTTTACTATATTTATCTAAATGAGTTTGCTTGAAATGAGCTGAAATTTCTGGGCACATGTCTTAACTTGCTACTGGCTGATAGATCTAGCACTGTCATACCATACCATTATAGTTTTGAATCTATGTTTAGATTCTGTCACTACTATACAATTCCCCTATTTCATTCCACTTTTATACCACCTTCAAGATATAAAAAATACTTTCACAGACAAGTCTGTCTTATTTGGCTGTTCATCTTATATAAGTGACTGGTCAAGTTGGAATTTTTCCATAATTTTCTGTTCTCTGCTGTCTCTACCCTACAGCATTTTGCAATCAAATGACAGATAATACTGCATGATAATGGATAATGCCAAAGGAAAAATACAATAGGTCACTTGAGCATTTTAATTAAAATATTATGCATACATTAAATCAATCACTCAATCTATTTCTCTTTCACTGCTATCACTCATCATTACTAATCTCAAGTAGGATTCACATCTACAGCTACAGCTTTTCCAAACTAAAAAATTCCACAGATGTCACAGAAAACTCCTGTCTACAAATGAGCAAGAGCCGAAGTCTGAAATAAAAAGTAAAATCCTAACTGAACTGTCAAGCACTGAAATGACTAATGAAGAAGTAGAGAGACTCTCAATAGAACTTAATACATCAGAGCATCAGAACCAGATGAAACACTGTGATGATTATTAGGAGATTCAAATGCTATGAAAAACCACTCGCACAATTCTGTGACTACCATTAATGATGGATAAAGTGCAAGAGGGATGGTAAGTGGTGAAAATTACTGAAATTAAGAAAAGAGCAAGGTATGAAATGCTGAACCAGGAGTTCCCAAGGTTGCAACCCAAGAAAAAATTGAGCAGCTGTGTTGTATAATTTTTTTCCAAAGGTTCCCTTTAGTATTATTTTATAAATCTACAGCAACTTGCTGGGATGCTAAGTAGGTACCCATACCATTTGGTTCACAAGGCAAATTTGATTTCAAATTTTGGGTAGTGCACAACAAAAGTGGTTTGGGATCCACTGTTTTAAACAATATACCAACTGTCCCTAACAAGTGTAATGTACAAACTGCATATTAAAGAAATTAACTTGCTCAACCTCTAGAAAGCAATTAATTTCTCATGAAACATCAATCTGGATTCAGAAACAAATGATGCCTGACAAGACATAAAAGACATAATGGACTAATGAAGGACAAACAAGAAGGATGAGTGGACTACATATTCCTAGAGTGCAAGAAAGCTTCAGAAAGGGTGCCACAAAGACTGCTTAGCACAATGAAGTAAAAGGTAAGCATTAGCATAGACATGGAAACACTGAGTATCATACCAAGCACATCTCCTGAGATGCACATTAACCAAATAACTCCTGCAGGACATGGGCACTTGGTAAACCTAAGAAAAGCAGTTTGACATTTAGAGACACTTAGAGTAAAGGATCATTTAAGACACTATACACCATGTATGTCAGGCCCATACCAGGTCAATCACGGCAAGAAATTAGAGAAAATGCGAAGGTTTGCAAAAAGATTATTCCGGAGCTAAGGGGTATGTGTTATGAAAAGAGGGTAAGGGAAATCAATCTGACAAAACTGGAGGACAGGAGGGATAGGGACAGAATGTTTCAGAGGTGGGACACAAACAAGGGGTCATGACTGGAAGTCGAAAACTCAGATGAGTCACATAGATATTAGGAGTGTATTTCTCCAGCCACAGAGTTGTCAGGAAGTGGAACAATCTGGAGAGTTATGTAGTAGAACAGCAGGATCCATACACAGCTTTACAAGGAAATATGATAAAGCTCTTAGAGCAGGGAGAGAGTAGACCTAGTGGCGACCAGTGAAGAGGCGGGGCCAGGAGCTGTCACTCGACCCCTGCAACCACAAATATGCGAGTACAAAGAACCAAAGGCAGGACTGATACTATATTTAAAGATAAATGTTCAACCTACAGGGTTCATATGCCTGGGGAATAGGAGGCAATGAGGTTAAATTCAAAGGAGGAAAACTCCACTTCCTTGGATCAAGAGGCCCTCACCAGTATCAAGGAACCAACCTCCCATGAGGGGATTATAATGATGCAATATCAGTCTTACAGGGATCAATGTTGGGCAATACACAAATAACCCACACATAGAAGAGAGGAGGTTACGATGATGTTTCGGTTTGACTTGGACCATTTACAAAGTCACACTAATGAAAAGGAGAGAAGGAGGGAGTATATATAGGCCAGGAGGTGGTGGTGATAGTAGTGGAGGTAGAAGATAGTACTGGGGAAGGTAGAATGGTGGAGGTGGAGCCAGTCAAAAACTAAGAAAGAGGAGAACTGCAGGGGAGCTAGGGGCCCACAGAGTAGGAGCAAGAACACACAGGGGGGAAAAATAATAATGAAGGAACAAATACCCAAGACAGAAGAAAGACAACCCAAAGGAGAAAGAGGAAAGGGGAAGAGCGAGAAGAAGAAAAAGGAATGAGGTTAAGTCACGGGTGTTCTGAATTTTGGAACATTTTACAATGTAGTGGGAAAGGAAAGCACCTACAGAGACAAAGCCAGGACTAATGAGCCTACAGACTGTAAAGGAAAGAGGAGACTGTACAAAAACTAAGATTCACTAATGGCATTTACTGAAATTTAATGCTAGCAAAAGTAGTTATAAAGCCTGGAGGTGAAAAAAAAAAAAAAAAAAAAGCTGAAGACAGTTCTATTAAGGTAGAGAAAACAAAGAATGAGCACTGCCTCTAAATCTATCCCCTTTAGTACACAGAATAACATCATAAGCACAAACTAACATAAGAGTGACATTCAGGAATTAAGACTCTTTCAAAATACATTTAAATCATTCAAAAGTATGTAGTCCTTACATGGAATCCTCACCTAGTAGAGTGCAAGATGATACTCATATGTTCAAAGGGGTCCAACCATCTGATGCCTGGACTTAAGGAAATGGGCTAAGAAGAAAATACAAAACAAGCCTTCTGTAAGAACAAAGAGGAGGATATGATTTCAACATACACGATACACAAGAGATAAGCAAAGTTTTTTGTACCAGAGATGAAATGAGAATAAGATGGCATTGTTAGAAATCACATACCCAAATGAACCACAGGAATATCGAAAGACATCCGTTGAAGCCTTCAAAGTTAAAAAAAGTGGAATGAATAAACAACACGTTGGAATTCGAGTCTGTACAAAGGGTCTATAATAAAAATAAAATGACTATTTCACATCAGTCATCTGAAAGTTAAGCAGCAGGACCAGGAGATATAGCTTACTCAAAGAAAACTCCAAAAATTAATTATTAATAGGTAATTACACCCTTGTATATAGTGGATATGCACCTATCACCATAGGTAGGAAAGGTACAAGATTAGTGAACCCGAACACACAGTAGTAATTTTTTTTTTTCAACAAGTCGGCCATCTCCCACTGAGGCAGGGTGACCCAAAAAGAAAGAAAATCCCCAAAAAGAAAATACTTTCATCATCATTCAACACTTTCACCTCACTCACGCATAATCACAATGGAACAATGGGCTAGTAATCCCTTTTCCTGTAATAATTAATAAAAAGAATAAGAAGAACAGTAGTAATATATGTTTTTATATGCCACCAGCTGCAAAAGAAATCAATAATGAAACTAATCTGAGCTTTATGAAATTCTTATGCCTTGGATCTCATTTCTTCAGGATTTTCCAAAATCTTTCGCAATAACAACTGACATGTCTATATCTTTAATGCCATGCTACCTTTAGAGAATCTTTTTCCTTAAGGATGAACTCTAATGCTTATGTACATTATCAGAGATTCTTACAGTTTTTCTTGTATATCAAACAAATTTATTAAAAGGTCAATTGCATTTTTGCAGCACACTGCCAATAGAGTAAACAGAAATGCCATTAGTCCATTAACGCTTCTTGTACTTCCCTCACCATAAGACATCGGTGCAACATTTTGGAAATGGTAGCTGCATGTACAGCTTGAGTTGAAAACCAGGTTGGCGAGTCAGGGATACATGATCTCTCAGGATAAACGTAGTACATGTCCAGCTTGCTGCGAACACTCTCAGGGCTGGAAAAATAAATAAATTATCATAAAATATCCAATAATTTCAATGTCATGGCCTAACTAATAATAATAATGTTCATTCAGATGACAATGTGTGGTTAAATATGGGGACCTCATATGCCCAAGTAGATAAATCTGTTTATACCACAGAAAATTTGGTCTCTCTTAAGATTACTATTTCTTGAGGGAGTTGCTATAAGGAAAGTTATCACCAGATACTTCAAAAGCATTCACTTTCATTCAATGAGAATTAATCAAATATTGAACATTAAAATGGTATAAAATACCGACAGGTTGTTGAAGAGCATTGTTCCATAGTCTGAAACAATATATTGTTTCAGACTATGGAACAATGCTCTTCTCCAGACTGAGGGACTGACCACCTCAAAACTTTAAGGGTGATGGACTGATTACATCGTCTTCAAGTCTCTTCTGCGTCTATAAACTTTTCTGTACTCGACTGAAGAAGCCTACTGTGTAGGCGAAACGTTTCGAAATAAAGATACCTAACTGTTGCATATGTGTCTTACCTAATAATCAAATATTTTCAGACATGCATAAATATTGCATTTAGATAGTGACATGAGTCTCTTCCCAACTTTTAATTAATTCATTACTCATTATTTGCATAATAGTCCCATCTTCCAATATTCTTTAACAAGATATTTCCACTGTTTATATTCTTCTCCTTCCTGAAACATTCAGAGTGCAATATTGATATACTGCTACCTTTTTATCCACTGATTAGATTAATCCCTCTTTTTTTCCTGTCTCTCACATTTTCAAACTCCATAATCCAAGAAACGGCTCTTTCCCCTCGTCTAACTTATAATAATAAAAGTAATGCCTTATGACAATGTTAAGAAATTTGCTAACTAAAAAGAACTACACAAGTCACTGTTTTAAGATGAAAAAAGAGCAAGACTACACCTTAAATAAATTCAAGTTTCGAATAAAAAGGCACAATATCGTGACTGGAACAATAACAAATAACCTGCACACAGGAGAGAGAAACTTATGACAATGTTTCGGTCTGACTAGTAACAGAGTGTGTGACTAGTTAATGGTCCAAGATGGACTGAAACACTGTCATACATTTCTTTTGCCTATGTGCTGGTTATTTGCATATAAATTCATGTTATTCATTAATCAAGGAACACCATTTTCTGCAGTCAGCCATGTTACAGCTGGCAAAAAGACATGATCTGAGCTTGAAATTTTTTCAACATTTTCTCTCCTTGTCAATACTTATTTAAATCTTAGATTAATAACTGAAATAAACAATAAAAAATTATTTAATCAGTTCTGTACTAAATACCAGTGTATATTCTGAATAAAGACTCTATCATTAGCAATCTGAGTGTCAATATAGTGATCAATGTAACATAATACTGACCATTTAGAAATGTAAAACTCGTATAACTTGACAGGACATCTCAGTGGGTCATCTCTGTTCTCATGCATTTCATAATTTTTCTTGGTTTTCTCATCTGCAATGTAGAATTACAAATTAACATGGAGGTATATTAATGTTATTAATAAAAGGCTGTCAGCTAGAAATCTTATAAAATAATATAACTTATCTTAAAGGAACAATATTCACCAAAATTTAAGTCTCTTAATATTTTTTGTATTAAGGAAGCAAAACATATAGGCAAGAATTCTAACACTGAATGATTGTGTGTTAATAAACTTGTTATTGTAATCATACGGAAGAGCTAATCATGAAATGTAAGGCATGCTTCAATGAGTCTAAATGATGCACAGTTCAAAATGAAGGTTATTACTGAGAATTGACAAGTGCTCATTACACTTTTAGTTTTTTTTTTTTCAGCAAACTGGCCGTATCCCACCAAGGCAGGGTGGCCCAAAAAGAAAAACAAAAGTTTCTCTTTTTAAATTTAGTAATCTATACAGGAGAAGGGGTTACTAGCCCCTTGCTCCCGGCATTTTAGTTGCCTCTTACAACACGCATGGCTTACGGAGGAAGAATTCTGTTCCACTTCCCCATGGAGATAAGAGGAAATAAACAAGAATAAGAACTAGAAAGAAAATACAAGAAAACCCAGAGGTGTGTGTATATATATACTTGTACATGTATGTGAAGTGTGACCTAAGTGTAAGTAGAAGTAGCAAGACGTACCTGAAATCTTGCATGTTCACGAGACAAAAAATGACACCAGCAATCCTACCATATTGTAAAACAATTACAGGCTTTCATTTTACACTCACAGGGCAGGACGGTAGTACCTCCATGGGCAGTTGCTGTCTACCAACCTACTACCTAGCACTTTCTTCAGTTATTGATTAAAATATAAACTATGCAACCATTAAAATGTTTTGATAAATTTTTTGAGTAATAAACAATTGTTATCAAGGAAAAGTAGGAACCCACATGGATACAGAAACATGGAATAATAGTTGGTATACTGTACGCTAAACCTTAACTGAAGAAGACCTCAGGTGGAGGTAGAAATATAGAGAAATCTGATTCTGTGATTCTGTATCCACTTGGGTTTCTACCTCTCATATATTAGTTGCAGATGAGAGAGTGAATGATCCAACGTAAAACATGAAATAACTCGTATATCAATTTAAGTTTTCTACACTAACCTTCCAGAGTTCTCTTGGGGTAATATTTCAGCCAAGCTGTCCTTGTGACTGAACCTTCCTGCCCAACATTTGACCGTCTCCACTGTTTAACAATTTGCGAAAAAGACAGGGCCTGATGATCCTCAATAGTCTGGAAAGAAATAAAGCAAAAACTTCTAAATTTAAATTTTTTTCATTCAGCAGCATCAGATGATTTTTAATCAGGGGGGTAGTGCTAAATCCACTGAGGTTATTAAGTGTCTCTAGAATGGGAAGAATTTAGGCTCAATTCAAGCAGAAGATAAGTACACATCTAAGCCCCCTTGAGGGGATTAAAATACTAGATGATAGGGAATATTTACTGAAAGCATATTGATACACAAGCATTGTCAATTTTTCACAAAGCTTGTATAATCTAATATATGCTTAGCAGATTATCCACCTATAATATTTTTTTTATACTACCCAAGTAATTGCTTTTATAACCTTTTACTCATGTGCAAGTTGACTGTTCTACCATATTGTATTACTACAACTAATATTACTATTAACACTAGTATTACACCTCACTCTAAGGCTGTATATGTATATCCTCTGTGTCCATGTATTGTTTGTAACGGCTTGATAAAGCTCCTGGAGACCGAAACATTGCCACAATAAATTATCACATTAGTTGCACTTGTGTCCTTTCACCTAACATAACTTACTCATCAATGGCACATCCAGCACTGAAAAATCATTCTCATCTGATACACACACTCACATGCCTGTTGGATGCTCAAGCTCCTACCATTCAAAACATTCTTCACCCCCTCCCTCCAACCCTTCCTGGGATGTCCCTTACATTTTTTAAAGTTATAAGTGCCAAAGATTCTTCTATACACGGATGTTATAAAACCAAATCATGAAAACGGCAAAATGTATAAGCATGTTGTATTCAAAAACATTATGACACTGGAAATGATCTACCTGCTGAACTGTCATGGCATACAAACTACTTAGGAATGGTTAATTTTGACATAAAATGTTAAAACCAAAAATGCTCTATCTATCGAACAGTCTGGGTAGCCTGGTTGATAAGGCCTGGGACCAGGGCAGAGGGTCATTGACACCAGAAGCATCCTTCAGGTAACCCAGCACAACTAACAAATTAAAAAAAATGATCAAAAATGTATTTTACATATACTACACTGATTTGATTCTGATACCAACCTTAAGATGAAACACTTTAGTGTTGAAGTAAAAGAGTGTGTTGAGTAGAACCTGTGGAGTGTGTGCACCAAGTTGTCTGCACTCCCATAACATAGTTTCGGTTATTCTTGTCACTCCGACAGAACTTGGTGACAAAAGTCCTGAAATAAGTCACACACATGATCATCAGTAAATGAATTTTGACATTTTTATGCATCAGAGTACATATTAATAAGAAAAGAAAAATGCAATTAATTACTGTACCTTAATTAATTAATTACTGTAGGTTGGAAGACAGCAACCACCCAGGGAGGTACTACCGTCCTGCCAAGTGTGTGTAAAACGAAAGCCTGTAATTGTTTTACATGATGGTAGGATTGCTGTTCGTCTTTTGTCTGTTTCATAAATATGCAAGATTACAGGCACGTCTTGTTACCTCTACTTACACTTAGGTCACACTAAACGTACATGTACACATTTATTTATACACACTCATCTGAGTTTTCTTTGATTTTATCTTAGTTCTTGTTCTTATTACTTTTCCTTTTATATCCATGGGAAAGTGGAATAAGAATCTTTCCTCTGTAAGCCATGCGTGTTGTACAAGTCAACTAAAATGCCGGGAACAATGGGTTAGTAACCCTTTTCCTGTAATAATTATTAAAAAGAATAATAAGAAGAAAATTGTCAAAGTGGGAAGTCTGAATGTGCATGGATGTTGTGCGAATGATAAGAAAGAGATGATTGTGGATGTTATGAATGAGAAGAAGCTGGATGTCCTGGCTTAAGTGAAACAAAGCTGAAGGGGGTAGGTGAGTTTCAGTGGAGAGGAATAAATGGGATTAGGTCAGGGGTTTCAAATAGAGTCAGAGCTAAAGGAGGAGTAGCAATAATGTTGAAGGATAAGCTATGGCAGGAAAAGAGGGACTATAAATGTATAAATTCAAGGATTATGTGGAGCAAAATAAAGGTTGGATGTGAGAAGTGGGATATAGTATGCGTATATGCACCTGGGGAAGAGAGAAGTATAGAGAGAGAGAGATTTTGGGAAATGTTGAGTTATTACAAAAAAAGTGATTTTTTAGATGGTGGATTACTCATTTTGTAATAAAGAGTTCGGGATACATAAATACACGTTAAAATAAATTAATCTTTAATATTATATAAAAAACAATCTTTGGTCTAGAGGTATTTAAACTAATAAACATTTGATAATATATACATGTTACAATAATAAATTATAATTAGCATCTTAAAATAATAAATAATAATTCGTAACCCTACACACAGGGTACAACTTCTCAGACACTACTGTCACCTTATATATCCATGCTAAAATAATAAATTATAAGTAACATTTGTACAATAATAAATTACGATCAACTTCGTGTCTCACGACACCCTTATGACGCTCCGTGTCTCACACGACACTTATATCCGAGTTGTGATGCTCCCGGTGTCTCACACGACACTTATTCGTGTAATGATGCTCCAGCTCAACCGTGTCCCTTGCCACCCTTTTCTCTGTGTCACCAGACACTCCAGCTCTCCGTGTCACACGACACCCTTTTCTCTGCGTAATGACGCTCCTACTCTCCATGTCACACGACACCCTTTTCTCTGCGTCATACACTTTCTCAACTGTGTCACCCTTGACACCCTGCGACACACTCACACAGCGTCTTTCTCGAGGCCAGTCACATGACACTATTCAATGTACACTACAACCATACCTTCTTCAGTGTCACACGACACCCTTTTCTTCTCAGTGTTCCACTACGGTCCTATAGCTTATTTCAGTGTTACACTCCGTCATACTTCCTTCAGTGTCACACTACGGTCCCAGCCCAGTTCAGTGTCACACTCCAACCTTTTCTTCATGTAGTGTCCCACTAAAACAGCATCCGATGACTCCAGCCCACAGTTGACCAGCATAGGCGGTGAGTCCGCAGACATCACCTGTCCTGTAAATACTCTCCAAGGCCGGTAGAAGTACACCGTAAGATGGTCTGGTGAGTACTATCTACCGCCTTCAAGACCAGTTGATAAATAGTGTTTGTAAAACACCATGCTGCAAGCTCACTGAATGCGGCCGTCAAGTAACTGAGGCCAACAGACTCAGTGAGCTGCGGTGAGCGCTTCCTCTAACGCCAGTAGATATATATAATAAGACGGTCAGACGAATACTCTACTGCTAGTAGATGTCTACCGTAAGGTGTTCTGGTAAATACTGCTTAGATGCGTACTGTGAGGTGTACTTACTGCTGCTAAGGCCGGCTCAGCAGTCCCCACATTGGGTTTGATGACATACCCAGTGGTACTGCCGGCCGGCAGGTTAACCATTTAACCGCTAGTTTGATAGGGGGCCGTCACATGAGTGAATGCGTGGGGAGTTTTGAACCAAGTGTGAGAGTACTTGTGGTTGGGGATTCTAATGCTAAAGTGGGTAAAAATGTTGTGGAGGGAGTAGTAGGTAAATTTGGGATGCCAGGGGTAAATGAAAATGGGGAGCCTTTAATTGAGCTATGTGTAGAAAAAGGTTTGGTAATAAGTAATGCATATTTTATGAAAAAGAGGATAAATAAATATACAAGGTATGATATAGCACGTAATGAAAGTAGTTTGTTAGATTATGTATTGGTGGATAAAAGGTTGATGGGTAGGCTCCAGGATGTACACGTTTATAGAGGGGCAACTGATATCGGATCATCATCTAATTGTAGCTACAGTTAGAGTAAGAGGTAGATGGGATAAGAGGTAAAAGGAAACAACAAGTAAGAGGGAGGTGAAAGTGTATAAACTAGTTTTAAAAATGCAGTATTAGAATGTGGGGCAGAAGTTTGTGGTTACAGGAGGAAAGAGGAGTGATTGGTGGAATGATGAAGTAAAGGGTGTGATAAGAGAGAAAAAGGTAGCTTGTGAGAGGTATTTATAAAGCAGAAGTGTTCTAAGAAGAGTAGAGTATATGGAGAGTAAAAGAAAGGTGAAGAGAGTGGTGAGCGAGTGCAAAAGGAGAGCGTATGATAGAGTGGGAGAGGCACTGTCAAGAAATTTTAATGAAAATAAGAAAAAATTTTGGAGTGAGTTAAACAAGTTAAGAAAGCCAAGGGAACGAATAGATTTGTTAGTTAAAAACAGAGTAGGGGAGTTAGTAGATGGGAAGATGGAGGTATTGGGTAGATGGCGAAAATATTTTGAGGAACTTTTAAATGTAGACGAAGAAAGGGAGGTGGTAATTTCATGCACTGGCCAGGAAGGTATACCATCTTTTAGGAGTGTAGAAGAGCAGGATGTGAGTGTGGGGGAGGTGCGTGAGGGGGTAAAGCAGCTGGAACTGACGGGATTATGACAGAAATGTTAAAAGCAGGGGGACACAGAGTGTTGGAGTTGTTGGCATTTTTGTTTAATAAATGTATGAAACCTAGGTAGGAGGTTGGTAGACAGCAACCACCCAGAGAGGTACTACCGTCTTGCAAAGTGATTGTAAAAGGAAAGCCTGTAATTGTTTTACATGATGGTAGGATTGCTGGTGTCTTTTGTCTGTCTCATAAATATGCAAGATTTCAGGTACGTCTTGCTACTTCTACTTACACTTAGGTCACACTAGACTTATATGTACAAGCATATATGTATATACACACCCCTCTGGGTTTTCTGCTATTTTCTTTCTAGTTCTTGTTCTTGTTTATTTCCTCTTATCTCCATGGGGAAGTGGAACAGAATTCTTCCTCCGTAAGCAATGCGTGTTGTAAGAAGCGATTAAAATGCCAGGAGCAAGGGGCTAGTAACCCCTTCTCCTGTATAAATTACTAAATTTGAAGAGAAACTTTTGTTTTTCTTTTTGGGCCACCCTGCCTCGGTGGGATACGGCCGGTTTGTTGAAAGAAGAAGAAATGTATGAAAGAGGGGAAGGTACCTAGGAATTGGCGGAGAGCGTGTATAGTCCCTTTATATAAAGGGAAGGGGGACAAAAGAGATTGTAAAAATTGTAGAGGAATAAGTTTACTGAGTATACAAGGAAAAGTGTACGGTAGGGTTATTATTGAAAGAATTAGAGTTAAGACAGAATGTAGAATTGCGGATGAGCAAGGAGGTCTGAGAGTGGGTAGGGGATGTGTAGATCAAGTGTTTACATTGAAGCATGTATGTGAACAGTATTTAGATAAAGGTAGGGAAGTTTTTATTGCATTTATGGATTTAGAAGAGGCATATGATAGAGTAGATAGGAGAGCAATGTGGCAGATGTTGCAAGTATATGGAATAGGTGGTAAGTTACTAAATGCTGTAAAGAGTTTTTATGAGGATAGTGAGGCTCAGGTTAGGGTGTGTAGAAGAGAGGGAGACTACTTCCCGGTAAAAGTAGGTCTTAGACAGGGATGTGTAATGTCACCATGGTTGTTTAATATATTTATAGATTTTATTATTATTATTATTATCACACTGGCCGATTCCCACCAAGGCAGGGTGGCCCGAAAAAGAAAAACTTTCACCATCATTCACTCCATCACTGTCTTGCCAGAAGGGTGCTTTCCACTGCCTCCAGCCTTCTCCTCGCTGCAACATTCATCACCCATGCTTCACACCCATATAAGAGCGTTGGTAAAACTATACTCTCATACATTCCCCTCTTTGCCTCCAAGGACAAAGTTTTTTGTCTCCACAGACTCCTAAGTGCACCACTCACCCTTTTCCCCTCATCAATTCTATGATTCACTTCATCTTTCATAGACCCATCCGCTGACACGTCCACTCCCAAATATCTGAATACATTCACCTCCTCCATACTCTCTCCCTCCAATCTGATATCCAATCTTTCATCACCTAATCTTTTTGTTATCCTCATAACCTTACTCTTTCCCGTATTCACCTTTAATTTTCTTCTTTTGCACACCCTACCAAATTCATCCACCAATCTCTGCAACTTCTCTTCAGAATCTCCCAACAGCACAGTGTCATCAGCAAAGAGCAACTGTGACAACTCCCACTTTGTGTGTGATTCTTTATCTTTTAACTCCACGCCTCTTGCCAAGACCCTCGCATTCACTTCTCTTACAACCCCATCTATAAATATATTAAACAACTACGGTGACATCACACAATCCTTGTCTAAGGCCTACTTTTACTGGGAAATAATTTTCCCTCTTTCCTACATACTCTAACTTGAGCCTCACTATCCTCGTAAAAACTCTTCACTGCTTTCAGTAACCTACCTCCTACACCATACACCTGCAACATCTGCCACATTGCCCCCCTATCCACCCTGTCATACGCCTTTTCCAAATCCATAAATGCCACAAAGACCTCTTTAGCCTTATCTAAATACTGTTCACTTATATGTTTCACTGTAAACACCTGGTCCACACACCCCCTACCTTTCCTAAAGCCTCCTTGTTCATCTGCTATCCCCATTCTCTGTCTTACTCTTAATTCTTTCAATAATAACTACCATACACTTTTCCAGGTATACTCAACAGACTTATCCCCCTATAATTTTTGCACTCTCTTTTATCCCCTTTGCCTTTATACAAAGGAACTATACAGCTCTCTGCCAATCCCTAGGTACCTTACCCTCTTCCATACATTTATTAAATAATTGCACCAACCACTCCAAAACTATATCCCCACCTGCTTTTAACATTTCTATCTTTATCCTATCAATCCCGGCTGCCTTACCCCCTTTCATTTTACCTACTGCCTCACGAACTTCCTCCACACTCACAACTGGCTCTTCCTCACTCCTGCAAGATGTTATTCCTCCTTGCCCTATACACGAAATCACAGCATCCCTATCTTCATCAACATTTAACAATTCCTCAAAATATTCCCTCCATCTTCCCAATACCTCTAACTCTTCATTTAATAACTCTCCTCTCCTATTTTTAACTGACAAATCCATTTGTTCTCTAGGCTTCCTTAACTTGTTAATCTCACTCCAAAACTTTTTCTTATTTTCAACAAAATTTGTTGATAACATCTCACCCACTCTCTCATTTGCTCTCTTTTTACATTGCTTCACCACTCTCTTAACCTCTCTCTTTTTCTCCATATACTCTTCCCTCCTTGCATCACTTCTATTTTGTAAAAACTTCTCTTATGCTAACTTTTTCTCCCTTACTACTCTTTTACATCATCATTCCACCAATCGCTCCTCTTCCCTCCCGCACCCACTTTCCTGTAACCACAAACTTCTGCTGAACACTCTAACACTACATTTTTAAATCTACCCCATACCTCTTTGACCCCATTGCCTATGCTCTCATTTGCCCATCTATCCTCCAATAGCTGTTTATATCTTACCCTAACTGCCTCTTTTAGTTTATAAATCTTCACCTCTCTCTTCCCTGATGCTTTTATTCTCCTTGTATCCCATCTACCTTTTACTCTCAGTGTAGCTACAACTAGAAAGTTATAGATGGCGTTGTAAAAGAAGTAAATGCTGGGGTGTTCGGGAGAGGGATGGGATTAAATTATGGAGAACTAAATACAAAATGGAAATTGACACAGTTATTTTTTGCTGATGATACTGTGCTTATGGGAGATTCTGAAGTAAAATTACAAAGGTTAGTGGATAAATTTGGGAGTGTGTGTAAAGGTAGAAAGTTGTAAGTGAACATAGAAAAGAGTAAGGTGATGAGGGTATCAAATGATTTAGATAAAGAAAAATTGGATATCAAATTGGGGAGGAGGAGTATGGAAGAAGTGAATGGTTTTAGATATTTGTGAGTTGATGTGTCAGTGGATGGATTTATGAAGGATGAAGTTAATCATAGAATTGATGAAGGAAAAAAGGTGAGTAGTGCATTGAGATATATGTGGAGGCAAAAAATGTTATCTATGGAGGCAAAGAAGGGAATGTATGAAAGTATAGTAGTACCAACACTCTTATATGTGTGTGAAGCTTGGGTTGTAAATGCTGCAGCGAGGAGGCGGTTGAAGGCAGTGGAGATGTCCTGTCTAAGGACAATGTGTGGTGTAAATATTATGCAGAAAATTCAGAGTGTGGAAATTAGGAGAAGGTGTGGAGTTAATAAAAGTATTAGTCAGAGGGCTGAAGAGGGTTTGTTGAGGTGGTTTGGTCATTTAGAGAGAATGGATCAAAGTAGAATGACATGGAAAGCGTATAAATCTAGGGAAAGGAAGGCGGGGTAGGGGTCGTCCTCGAAAAGGTTGGAGGGAGGGGGTAAAGGAGGTGTTGTGGGCGAGGGGTTTGGACCTCCAGCAAGCGTGCGTGAGCGTGTTAGATAGGAGTGAATGAAGACGAATGGTATTTGGGACCTGACGAGCTGTTGGAGTGTGAGCAGGGTAATATTTAGTGAAGGAATTCAGGGAAACCGGTTATTTTATATAACCGGACTTGAGTCCTGGAAATGGGAAGTACAATGCCTGCACTCTAAATGAGGGGTTTAGGATATTGGCAGTTTGGAGGGATATATTGTGTATTTTTATACGAATATACATGTACTTCTAAACTGTTGTATTCTGGGCACCTCTGCAAAAACAGTGCTTATGTGTGAGTGAGGTGAAATTGTTGAATGATGATGAAAGTATTTTCTTTTTGGGGATTTTCTTTCTTTTTGGGTCACCCTGCCTCGGTGGGAGATCTCCAACAATCCACTTCTTCCTGGAAAACTCCCCTTTATAGAGATAATTATATTTATTGAAAGGACTAAACCCATGTCATATAGTGCCTAGAGAATGGAAGGTAATTACAAATCAAGGTTATTTCAAAGACACATGAGAATAAATCACAGACATGGAGAGTGATGTTTTACCTGTCATATCACATACCCATGTACTTAGTAATAAAACTAATACAAATTACCTGGAACTGAATGGAAACCAACTACATCAATATTTTGGCACAATGGTCAAGTAAAACAGTGCACTGAGTAAATTAAAAAAATTTTTGACAGGTTAATAGTTATTTTTCTCTCCCTCCAACTGAGAACCTATAGAACAAAGACACATATGCGCATCACTAAATTAATTTAAATTATATGGATGAAACTAATCAAATGTTTAATGATAGAATGATGTGGGTAAAGAAAGATTAGTGCAAGTACAGCAAATTATAATAAATTCAAAATGTATCTTGACAATTGTGTTAGTTTTTGTGTGGATAAGGTATAGCAGTCATGAATCTTAAGTCTTTCTGGGCACTTCACGTAATATGTGTTAAACACATCTTTCAGCACAAAGCATCAATATGGAACCCACACATAGGGAAGCATGTTAAGAAACTGAAGAAAGTGCATAAGTATACAACAAAGATTATTTCTAAGTTAAGGGGCACAAGTGATTAGATGCTAATGGAACTGAATCTAATGACACAGGAGGAAAGAAGAACCAGAGGAGATACGACAACAACACACAAAATACTTAGGGGAATTGATAGGCTAGACAGGGATAACCTGTTTGAGAGGCAATCAACACAAACTCGGGACACAGGTGAAAGTTACAGGTGTAGGCGAGCCACAGAAATGTTGGAAAGTATTTCTCAAGCCTCAGGGTGGTCAGAAAGTTGAATGATCTCTGTGAAAAAGTGGTGAAGGCAGACTCCATACATAGCTTTATCACCAGGGATGATAAGGCTCATAGACTAGGAGAGTGAATCTGACAAGCAATAATAAAAAATCTGAACTACAATAATGACTTGAAAATTTTCAACAAAATGAATACAGTATTTTCAAAATAAAATCCTTACCTGGAGATGGTGCAGTGTTTAAAAATGTTTTGGTGATTTCATCAAGACTGTTAGTAAACTTTTCAAAACCAAAGTCCATAAAGATGCAATCTGTTCTTGCACTATCAAATAAATGCTGTTGAATTCCTGAAAAAAAATATTTAAAAATTTTAAGAGAACTACATGAGAAAATTTATAAAACACAATCGTTCCTGCTTGATCAATAATACATACATTAATGCCTCAATATTCGTAAGGATAAAGAATAGCGAAAAACACAAGCAGGCATAACTGGCCGGTGTTGGGCAGGTCATGTTCACATCTAACCACTCTCACTTGCATGACCAATCTATTGTTAAAGCTACCCAAAGTTCTCACTTCAAAGATACTACTACGTAGTTTTTATCCACTTGTCCACAATTGTACTGCCAAATCACTGCTTTCCTACATACTTTACTTTCTAAATCTAAATTTACCCAATTTGAATCCATTAATGCGAGTCCCTCATGATACGATACTGTCATCATGTACTGATATCTCCTTTATTTATTGCTTTTCCATAAGCACACTTCAGTCATATTCCCCCTAATTCTACACCTTTCCAAAGAGTATGGATATCAAGGCAAAATAGGCAGAACAAGTTTTTATTGGGACTATATTTTGCTCAGAATTAAAAAACAACAAAAATCAAATTAAGTGTTAAACCCAAAAGGGTCATCATGTTGTGAGCAGAACTTCAGCAAGGCATATGAGGATTACCTTTTACACACACACATACATGTATACTCATGGAGATGGAGGCATGAATGGTCAGGTGCTAATGATGGAGGAAGTGGAGCACTGCAGTTGACCTACTGCTTCATTATTTAGGATTAAATTAATGTTTGATTACAGTCACTTTATTCATAAAGATGATTACCAATGACCAATGATCTTGAGCAACCTCCCTGCAGATGAAGATGACTGGGTAACACCAGAACCCTTCTATATCTACTAAGAATATTATCGCCCCTAATTATGGAGATATCTTTTATAACTTTTTTACTTTCACATCTACTATTAAAAATTCGCTATATTTACTATGGCGGCACACCACCTTGAAAGAAGCCAACATGCTCAGTAATTTTTCATGAATTGTCTATATAATCATCGCCTTGCCCTGTCGTTGAAATCTTGTTATACAACTGCAACTTGTATATCTATTACTGATTCAGAGTCATGTACCTATATATCTGTGTGACTTTGATGGGTAAGTGTTATACCCCCTACAATAATTTTCTGTTATTACACACACACTTTTTAAATTGCACCAAAGTGGTTGTGTCATTTCCCTTTTATATCCTACCTCATTCCCCCTCTCACCCTTTTTCCATATTTCTATCCTTACCCATCCTTCTTCCTTACCCTTTCTACCAAAACTCTGGTCATAAGTTAAGTTACAGGCTAGGTGCTTCTAATGCTAGAAAATGTGTGCTGCTAAGTTTTTTGTTAGGTTGAAAGCCTCCCCCCCCCCCCCGAGCTGCATAATCTAAATGAGACCTTAACAATGATATAAAGTTGAAGTATAACCTTGGGAATTCTATTAGTTAAGGTGTTTGATATGAAGCAAACAAGTCTCTTAGCTTTGTTACCAACACTTATGTACTCGTCTTAGCTTGGGACTATTACTGACCAGAACTCCTAATTCATTTCTGGCATTCACTTTAAAATCTACTGTACATTATTGTATTTAGTTTACAAGTGCCCTGGATATTTTCTTTTTTCCAGAGATTAGAACTGTATATATTTTTTTTTTCAACACATTCGTCATCTCCCACCGAGGCAGGGTGACCCAAAAAGAAAGAAAATTCCCAAAAAGAAAATACTTTCATCATCATTCAATACTTTCACCTCACTTATAAATAACCAGTCTTTGCAGAGGCACTCAGATACAACAGTTTAGAAGTCCCTCCAAACTGCCAATATCCCAAACCCCTCCTTTAAAGTGCAGGCATTGTACTTCCCATTTCCAGGACTCAAGTCCGGCTAACTGGTTTCCCCAAATCCCTCCACAAAATATTACCCTGCTCACACTCCAACAGCTCGTCAGGTCCCAAAAACCATTCGTCTCCATTCACTCCTATCTAACGTGCTCACACATGCTTGCTGTAAGTCCAAGCCCCTCACCCACAAAACCTCCTTTACCCCCTCCCTCCAACCATTTTGAGGATGACCCCTAACTCACCTTCCTTCCCCTACAGATTTATACGCTCTCCAAGTCATTCTACTTTGATCTATTCTCTTTAAATGACCAAACCACCTCAACAACCTTCTTTAGCAATCTGACTAATACTTTTAGTAACTCCACACCTCCACCTAATTTCCACACTCCGAGTTCTCTGCATTCTCCACTGCCTCCAGCCGCCTCCTCGCTGCAGCATTTGCAATCCAAGCTTCACACTTATTTAAGAGTGTTGGTACCATATACTTTAGTACATTCCCTTCTTTGCCTCCATGGATAATGTTTTTTTTGTCTTCACAGATACCTCAATGCACCACTCACCATTTTTCTTTCATTAGTTCTATGGTTAACCTCATCCTTCAATAACCCATCTGCTGACAAGTCAACTCCCAAATATCTGAAAACATTTACACTTCTTCCATACTCCCTCTCTCCAATGTAATATCCAATTTTTCTTATCCTAAATTGCTTGATACCCTCATCACCTTACTCTTATCTATGTTCACTTTTAACTTTCTCCTTTACACACCATCCCAAACTCGTCCACTAACCTTTGCAACTGTATATTTGACCACACTAAATTTCATCTGCCACTTTTCTGACCGTAACATCACCCTATCCAAATTATCCCATGGTACCCTGATTCCCTTTGAAATTATTTTGCAGCCTATTTGTGTGTCATTAGCAAATGTAGTTATTTTTCTTAACACTGGCCATCTCTCACCAAGGCAGGATGACAAAAAACTGGTTTCCCTGAATCCCTTCACAAAATATTACCCTGCTCACACTCCAACAGCTCGTCAGGTCCCAAAAACCATTCATCTCCATTCACTCCTATCAAACATGCTCACACATGCCTGCTGCTTGTCCAGGCCCCTTGCACACAAAAGCTATGTCGCTACTTATTCCCTTGCCAATGTCATTTATATATATTGTGAACAAGGGACCCAACAGTGACCCTAGTGGAACAAGTCCCCAGTGTCCTTTCTCTGTATTTATACAAACTCTTTACTGTATCAGTTAGATGTGTATTGGTTCAGGCTAGAATTTTTCCTCCAATACTGTACTGTGTGAAGAAATTTTTATCTGTCGAACGTGTGGAACTCTACCAAAAACCTTATTGAAGTTCATACACAATATTTTATCACGGCCCACCGTATCTAATACCTTTGTGAAAAAATCTGCAAATTTGTTGGGCAAGAACACCCCTTTGTAAAACTGTGCTGAGATTCACTCATCATCAAATTATGCCATTCCAAGTGACTTTGAATTGCATTCGCAGTTACTGAATCCATTAACTTTTCCCACAATCAACAAGCTGACTGGTAATTAACAGCTAAGGCCCTATCTCCTACTTTGCAAATAGGTACCAATATAGAGACTAGCTAAATGTTTTACCAAGTTCCTCTTTACATTCTTTTAGAATTGAGGAAAGAGATGGTCCGAGAGGCAAAGGCTAATGCCAAAACCAAACTTAATTATTAAACACTGACTTTATACTTCTCATGTTCTTTATCTGGGATAAACTGTTCAGATTTCATTAAAAAATACATGAAACACACCTATACAATCTATTTTTTTTTTAACACACTGGATGTTTCCCACTGAGGCAGGGTGAACAAAAAAGAAAGAAATTCTCAAAAAGAAAGAAAACACTTTCAGTATCATTCAAAACCTTCGCCATCACTCATACATAATCAATGTCTTTGCAGAGGCGCCCAGATACGACAGTATTAATATGTCCAGATACGACAAGCTTAACCCGTAAACGGTCCAAACGTATACATATATACGTTCACTACCGTACTGCCCCAACTTTTTTGAGAAAAAAAAAAATTGTTGTTTCTTAATAGGAAAAAAGAGCATATGGTACCCAGGCATCCCCAATTATTTTAATATGGCACACAGTGAGTGCTCACACCCATTCTCTCATGTCTAGGTGACTCAGGCTTATTGTGGCAATGTTAAATGTATGACACATAAAACGTATATATACGTTTGGGGCACTAGCGGTAAAAACGTATACAGTGGACCCCCGCTTAACGATCACCTCCAAATGCGACCAATTATGTAAGTGTATTTATGTAAGTGCGTTTGTACATGTATGTTTGGGGGTCTGAAATGGACTAATCTACTTCACAATATTTCTTATGGGAACAAATTCGGTCAGTACTGGCACCTGAACATACTACTGGAATGAAAAAAGTTCGTTAACCGGGGGTCCACTGTATATACGTTTGGACTGTTTACGGGTTAATATGCATATAATTATGAGACTAAAAGTGCTTTCTTTCATGTGTAATTACCATTTAAATCATGATGGCACTCTTGACAGAATCCACAACATTTATTCAAGGGATATTCATAAGAACATATCACAAACTGTAGTCAAAAATCACCGAATGCCAAAACTACAGATTTTGAGAGATTAGTGTACACTACAAGCAATCGTGAAGTATACATGCACATGATTACAAGCATCAATATTTAACAAATCCTGAATTATCCTTCACAAACAAATGTGAGGAAATTAAGCAATCCATAATACAAATGCTTGCAAAGTAAAGCTGCTTACTGTTTTAATAATGACCAAAAAGACAATACAGTGACTGAAACAATACACAAATAACCTGCACATAGGACAGAGAAGGTTATGACAGTGTTTTGGTCTGACTTGGACCATTTATAAGTCGTCATAAGCTTCTCTCTCCTATGTGCGGGTTATTTGTGTATTAATACACACACTATAAGTAGAGTAGAAACATTCTTGAATAAATTTCCCATATTGTTTATACAAAACCCTCTATTACATTACTGTACTTCACTTGTCCTCTGCATTACAACCTGTATTTAACTATTTTAGACTATAAAAAAAATATTATTTTAAGGATAAATTAAAATAATGCTTGTTTATTCTTATCATTATAGTCAAGTTTAGCGCTAAACTCCAAAGAATCATACAGCTTACACTATGTATTAATATGCCTGTACACAGGTCACATTTATCTAAATTATGAATCTAATCTTTTAATGTCTGCTAACAGTTCATGAGTTGTTGTATTATTATAGAATATGATCAAGTTCTACTTTATTTTGAAATATATTCTGACAGAACCATGTAGGATAAAGACAATAAAGATATGTTATTAAATTCCAAACAGTAACTTGATTATCTTTCAAAGTAATTAAATTGCATTAGCAATTTGTTGAATCAAATAAAAATGTGAAATTGTATTGTGTACATAAATTTATGGAAAAAAAAAAAAAAACTGTAAACTCACCAAGTAGTAGATAAAAGATGGTATCTGGCTGGTAGGCTTCCCCACTGGGTTTCCTCACATCTTTGAGGAAGAGACAGAGGGCATAGTTGAGTTCGTCACAGTTCATAGAAAGCAAGTCCTCTGAGAGCAGTTTCATAGTGCGAGAGGAGGAGACCCCTGCCAGCTCTGCATTCTTTTCTGTTACCCAGCTCTTCCAGGCCGCCAGACCATACATTTTCTGAATATATGACAATTATTCTCATGATAAGCAGTGATTTCCTAAAGGAAAGTTTCTAAACTAATTATTTTATCACTAAGATATACTGTGTTTCAAAGTCTTCTAGACCTCCAAAAGAGGGAAGTAAAAAAAAAAAAAAAAAATCTCAAGTTGTGCTAGCCAAATACCTCTGCTGTTCCTGATGCTTTGAATTTAGGCAGTGTTAGATTGTATGCAATTTGTTTCTAAAGATGTGACCTCCAATGTAAAGGGCAAGGCTGGTATTTGAGCATAGTTTCAGGTTAGCATAGGCACCACCATGACCAGAAATGCATTGTTTCATCCATAACGAATTAGAAGCTTACTGTAAATATTGCCACAGTAACATACATCTCTCACTGGCGGAATTTCAGTTAGCAAGAGTCCATTTTATAAATCTTTTCTTTCTTCATAAGTCAATCACATCAATTTGGCAGAGTGTAAGAGGGTAATGTTTATTTTGCAAAATATTATATTAAAAAAAATTAAAATGCAATTTTGGTTTATAAGTATCACAAGTCTTTTAACTATATAGGTATGTTATTAGTATATGGCTTGCTACCAAGTACCCCAAATAAAGAGTGGATGTAAATATTATTTCTGCTCATTTTACATCAATATCAAAACACAATGGTAAAGGGCAATTTTCATGGATTTTTCAATATACATGACCAACCTTTTAAGCCTTATATTATACTTACAAGCCATTTAATATTTCTGACATAAATTTGTTTAGCAGAATCAGTTAAAAATCCACCTAGGGAAATAAATCACACTTTAAAAAAATAACTGAATAATCAAATACATAAATGATAATAAAATTTTGCATAAGTTAGAAGTGATCTTTGAGTTATTAAATGTATTACTATTTCTCTTGTTTGAAGATTAGTTGTAGCAGTTACCATGTTTATCATTTCTAAACAGTGAAGAAAAAATGCAATTTACTAAACAAGCAATTACTGTGAGAACATTTTGCTGTGTGTAGAGCTTTATTATGAAGTCGTATTATATGATCAAGCTCTACACAATAGCAAACACTGTACCAATAAAAGCTTGTTCTGCAGAATGTGTCTTTACTGTTGTCAGCAGTACATCGTTTGGATCCAATGCTAAACGGTGCTGGCTGATGTGAAAATCTGTGGACTGTGGCTACAAACTGTGGAATTTGAATTGGAAGGGAAAAAAAATCACAGAATCCTACAATATTTATTGCACAGTGTGTGCCTCACATTTTTGTATATATATATTTGCCCATGCATAATTTACGTCTATAAAAAATTAACTATTCTATGTCACAAATTTATTGAAAGGCAGGATCTGAGTTATATAAAAAACACAATTTTAATATTTAGTTTAGTTTTCTTCTTTGATTATATATATATGCAATGATTGCTTTTCATAAAAGTTTATTAACATTATGAACAGTTTTGTTAACATGTAAACTATATCTTAAATTTATTACATTGCATAATTAAACTTACATAATCACCGGTCATATATAAACAAAATCTCCGTGTCCACAAAGTCCTTTTCCAGTTTTAGAAATTTATTGCAACAATCTGGTAAAAGATATAAAAATGCAGTTTTTTGAATAAGACTTGAATATTTCCCACAACACCAAGTTTCCCAACAAGAGGATTGTTTGTGATGGCCTGTCACATTATCTCTACACTTCCCTGATATCATGCCTTTAAACTTCTTTATCTGTGGGAGTTTGTGAAGGACTGTTTTCCAGATAACAGTAGCTGACATTAAAACACTCAAGTGCTAGAATAATGGCACCAGAAAAGTCACACAAGATATGCTGGACAATATGTGCAATGAACTGAGTGTTGATTAGATGTGCTACAGACAACTAGGGGTGAATATGCTGAGGTCGCATAGATAAGACAAACATGGAGCTGTATAAAAGCTATTAGTTTTGCTATTGTACACAAAAAAAAACCACATTTACACACCTCTTATCATCTTGCTGTAAAAATTTTTAAATTAGAAATGAACCATGTGGACAATCTGTAAACAGTACATGTTTCAACTGAAAGGCTATTAATTTTACTTTCAAAATTAAATTCTATTTTTAATGATGATAAAAACCAATTCAGATACACCAATGGAAGAAATATATATTTTTCCAATGACCAATATAAGAACTTATACACCAAATGTTTCTGAAATCTCATGGGAAAACAAAAACTCCTTTAGATTCATAGCAACTGAGGCTCACAATGGAATAAGAAACTAATTCCCAATTACACTGCCAATATGATTGGTTATGGAGAAAGTCAACAACTGGACATGCTTATATAATTACCTATTTGAGTTTGCAGGAAACAAGGGAAGAAGAGCTCCAGCTGTTGGTCTTGCCTCTTACCTTCTGCCCAATTGACTTGACTGAGCCTGTCATATCTATTTATTGAATCCCTTTTTTGAAATCCACTTCCACTGTGTCACTGCTCAGCTCATTCTACTTCTTTGCCAATCTCATGTTAAATATACACTTTGATATCCATTACTCATGAATGTGATTTCCAATCGTGGCCTCTTGTTTTCTTAGTATCCCTGATAAAGAGCCCACCCCTCTCTATGCTAGTAGTATTTTGCATGTGGTATATTACACACTGTATTATGTAGTATTTATGTAAAAAAAAATTAGGTTCACCAATAAATAATGTAAAATCTCTATGTACAGTGCAGTCATTTACTTATTGCAGGATTTTTTTACTGTTATTTACATTAAACTTTGTGTTTTTCATTTAATAATAAGTAGCTGTCAGGTTCTATACAGTTATGTCCTAACCCAACCTATATTGTACACTTTGTGTGATGCCAAAATTATCCTTTGTTTAAGTGCCAAGTAACTGAATGGCAACAAAATCTTTGATTTTATTGCCATTCAATTGCAATTAATGACGTTGGCCAGAGACAACATCTGAAGTCTTTGTAATGCAAGTGTCCTGTGGATACCATCCACGCTTTCATAAAGCAAAAATATTTAGTAGCAAAAATGAAAAACATTTTGCCCATTTCCAAGGCCTTTGACCATAAGCACTATATTATTTATCAAATATATTTAGATTGTTAAGGTCTAAGTCAGAAACTCTCTCTGAATTTAATCCAGCAAGCATCCTTAAAATATAAATATTCTCCTACCGGAGACTGATTAGTGCTGAATTTCACCTCATAGTATTTACGACAAGATAATTACAGCTGATCATATGGATTATACGCACTCTGTTGACAATGTATTTGGTGTTTAGTAGCTTATGTACATATTGTAATGAGGTAGAAAGTGATTTCTAATTATGAAGGACTAAAATTCAAAAAGTTGGTGTCCCACACTTTATGCTATAGTAGATGTATTGCAGGCCCATGGCCTGGAATATGGTGAATGTATATTGCATATACAAAACTACCAACAGAAAGGAGACATCTTACTACAGTGAATTTACAGAGAATGAAACTGCTGCATAAAGAGAGGGAAGCCTGCATTTTATTTTAGTTTGTGAATGAATAATAGTACTTATGATAACCAAAGATTTTTTTTTGTGGGTGAATCTTAGGAGAATGAGAAACACTTTGTAGATCTTGGGAAAGAAACCAAAAATTTCTACAACAAAGAATTGAGATACACAACAGACTTAATATCAACTTCAGATGATAGAGGAGTACTTCAAAACTAGTAAAAAAATTTCAACACAATTCCATCTTGGAAAAGTGGTTATAAATAAAACAAAACACCACATTATTTCTGTAATATACATAGACACTTTCCTGGAGTACAATAAAATACTTAACATATAACCATGTTATCTTCTGTGAAGTCTGTATTACTGATTGAAGTAAGATGCATTTTTTCTTGAAAATACTGCACATTACAAAGAAATGCAATATTCAATAATAAAAATTAAAGTATGTTTTGTAAATGCAAAAACCTTATGAAAAGTTACTTTTCTATCAGAAATCCATCATCACAATGGCTCTGTATAATGCATACACAGACAAAGAACTAGGGAACAGTTGGTAGTGTGGTATGTATGTTCATACTCTGGTATGTATGTTCATATACTGTAATAAACATTCATACTCAATATTCATTAAATACCCTAATACTATTTTCCAGTACTCGGGCTTCAACTTGCACTTGAGAGAACTAAGAACAAGTCAGTTGCGTAGGACACACATTTATACACAATATTCGCGTGCTATTCGAGTACCATTTTTCAAGCACTCAAATTTTTGCTTGTACTTTAAAGAACAAGGGTGAGAAGTCTAAGAGTATTGTAGTACATATATTTACACTCAATATTCATGTACTGTACTATTCAAATACTTGTTTTTTTTTTTTTTCAATATTCTGTCTTGTAACTGAAAGTCTAAGAACTTGCACTTAAATTCAAAGTGCTGAACTTAAAATTTATTAAATCATGTCAGTACTAATCAGTATTTGGCACTCAAACAAAAAACACTGCAACACTGCCAGTAAATACAATTTATGGCCTCCCATATTTAATTTGCACTTACATTAAGATATGGGCCCTGATACTCCTCCTCCAAGAGAGGTTCAGGCTCAACCTCAGGTTCAGGTTCAGGTTCTGGTTCAGGTTCAGGTTCGGGTTCTGGCTCAGGATCGTCAGGATCAGACATTGATTGAGAGTCACTGCTTTCGCGACGACGAAGTCTCTTCCTGGGTCTTTCTAGACTACCGCCAGAAGATTGCCGTTTGCCTTTGTTTTCACTCTGAGATTCAACATCATTTTGTACTGAGCTGCAGTTAGAAGAAGCCTCGACATCATCTGCTAGAGAAATAGCGTGTTATATCGGGTTCTTGAAAATGAAAATTGATCACTTAATGCAATGTGAAATTTACTTGCTTCTGAAAGGTTTCACCATATTCAAAGTGAACAAGGAAATATTTTGACACCCACACAAATACTAAGACAACATTGTTGCTTTACACACACACACACACACACAAAAAAAAAAAAAAAAAAAAAAAAAAAAAAAAAAAAAAAAAAAAAAAGGCACAATATGCAAATCATATGCTCAGGAAAGTGAAAAAGTAATGTGGCAACTCTCACCTATAAAGCCTGACACTTGTACCAACTAAACAAAATGAACTACAAGTAGATAAACAGAGAGCAGTTTATTCCAGTAAAGTGCTGAATGTTCAATTCTATTGTTTATTAAAGTGTCGGTTTGATAAAATGTTTCTGAAAACAATGAAAAGTCTTCTTCCTTAAGCCATACCAAGATCAAGGGGCTAGTAACTCCTCCTGTATAAATTACTAAATTTAAAAAACTTTTGCTTTTTCTTTTAAGGTCATCTTGCCTCGGTGGGATACGGCCAGTGCATTAAAAAATTGATGATGGTGAAAAGGATCCTCACTTTGAAGAAAAAAGCACATAAAAAGAACTTCAAACCAAGTTAAATTAATATCTTCATCTAAGTGAAGTATTATTTATAGCAAACTGATTGAGCTAAATCAGTCAGATTTGAGCATGATTGGATAGTTGACCAATTTACAGAAAAACCAATAAATTCCAATTTGCGAGAGTATAGTGGTACCAACAGCATGGGTTGTAAATGCTGCAGCAAGGAGGTGGCTGGAGGCAGTGATGTGCCTAAGGGTAATGTGTGGTGTAAATATTATGCAGAGAATTCGTAGTGTGGAAATTAGGTGTGGAGGTACTGAAAGTATTAGTCAAGAGGGCTGAAGAGGGGCTATTGAGGTGGTTTGGTTATTCAGAGAGAATGGAACAAAGTAGAATGACTTGGAGAGCATATAAATCTATTGGGGAAGGAATGCAAGGTAGGGGTTGTCCCCGAAAAGGTTGGAGGGAGGGGGTAAAGGAGGTTTCATGGGCGAGGGGCTTGGACTTCCAGCAAGCATGCGTGAGCATGTTAGATAGGAGTGAATGGAGACAAATGGTTTTTTGGGACCTGATGAGCTGTTGGAGTGTGAGCAGGGTAATATTTTGTGAAGGGATTCAGGGAAACCAGTTAGCTGGACTCGAGTCCTGGAAATGGGAAGAACAATGCCTGCACTTTAAAGGAGAAGTTTAGTACTGTACATTGGTAGTTTGGAGGGAAGTCTAAACTGTCATATCTGAGTGCCTCTGCAAAGACAGTGATTATGTATGAGTGATGGTGAAAGTGTTGAATGATGTTGATAGTTTTTTCTTTCTTTCTGGGTCACCTTGCCTTGGTGGGAAGTGGCCGACATGTTGGAGAAAAAAAAAAAAAAATCCGAAAGTGTATTGTTAAAACCAGTGAACTTATAGTCTAGTACTCATGGTATTCCCACCCATCATGGTCTTGGAAGCTGAACATAGATAGGAAACAAGCTAAATACGCCTAACATTCAACATGCTAACTTTTACAATATTAAGTAGATTCATGTGGTACTGGTAAATGTCAAGAGTTAAGCTATAAAGTTAATTTCAGCAAAATATATTGCTATTTAAAGGTCACTCAGGACCTTGACATTTGCAAATGACCTGTTTATGTCTATTTTTTAACATTTATGTTATGATTTCCAATACTGTGGTCCCTCAATTATCGTCCTTAATCCGTTCCTGGAAGTGGGACTGTTATCGAAATAGACGATTTTCGAATCAATTTTCCCCATAAGAAATAATGTAAATCCAATTAATTCGTTCCAGACACCCAGAAGTATCAACAACAATTTTTTTTTTACCTAAAAGATAGATTTACATGCACAAAAGAATGAACATTCAAAATGATAGTTACCTTTACTGAAGGCTGTTGTTGATGAATGGAAGACAGGGAGGAGGAGAGAGGGAAGAGAGGTTATTGTTTGGAAGGGGAATTCCCCTCCATAAGGACTCTAGGTCACTTCAGGGGTCACTTCCCTAGCATAAATATAGATTTACATGCAAAAAAATATGCCAAATAAATGTAAAGCACTAATAAAATGTATAAATGAACATTGGTAATAGGGGTAGTTGATGAGTGGAACGGTCTGCCTAGTAGGGTGATCGAAGCTAAAACATTGGGTAGTTTCAAATTTAGGTTAGATAAATACATGAGTGAGAGGGGTTGGATTTGAGTCGGACTTGCACCTGAGCTTATTGCTTGGGTAGCATTTGTTCTGTTAGTGGGGTGGATTTGTGAAGGACCGGGCCTAATATGGGCCAACAGGCTTATTGCAGTGTTCCTCATTTCTTATGTTCTTATTGGAGACTTGTTTGTGTGAGGGAGGGATGGCAAGCTTATTGTTGGAGAATATGACACTAATATCAACTCTTCGGCTTATTTATCTATCACAATTCAACTAATATGACATAATAAACAATATTAATAACATAGAAACAGGGAATATACTCTAGAATGAATAAAATAAGTCATTACGTATGTCACGGGAGGTGTTGTGTTGTGTTGTTGTTGGGTATATAAGGGCCACTGACAGTAAGCCGTCCATAATGGTGGTGAAGCAGCAGCTGAGGTGGTGGTGTTTTCTGTAGCCCTATATAACTCTAACAACATTGGAGGAGTTGGTAGAATCGCTGAATCACTAAAGAAGGCACCCTCTACCACCATCACTACGACCTTCTACCACTATTACAACTGTTACCACCATCACTACTACCTTCTACCACCATCAACCACTATCACAACTGCTTCCACTCTACCACCACCACCTTTGTATTTTTCTACAAACTTTTTCATAAATTACGTGTTTCTCACATTCTTTACCAAAGGGCTGGCACTAGAAGCTTTCTTTGGAGCCATGGTAGCTTATTTAGCACTTGCAAGCACTAAAATCAATGGAATATTATGAAATATTTTGCAGGAGCATGTGAGGGGACCGTCGCTCAATGGCACACTGGCTGGGAAGGCAGGCCCAGGCGGCTCAGAGCGTGAGTACGCGACCTGGACGAAGGACGATTAGCGAGTTAACAGACCATTTGCGAGCCAATGTTTAGACGAAATAACGGGACTATTTCCGAAATGGACGACTTTCGGGCCGGACGATTATTGAGGGACCACTGTAATAATGTTTGTTGGGCGTTTTTCAGATATTCACTGATTGTGGCTGCAACCTGAGCATCTTAACCCTTTTACTGCTGAGACCCCTGCTCACAAACTTGCTCTCAGTGTTGAAGAATTTATAAAAAAAAAAAAAAAAAAAAAATTATGAAATGATAGAGAATCTTTTCCTGATGGTAATGACACCAAAAAGCATGAAACTAGATGGAAAACTTAAGGAATTATGCTCTCATCAAGTTAGTGGTCTCGGTGATATATACGCATCGGTGATTTCGCCCACATTGAGCCATATTTTCGGCCAATTCCATTGTTCCAGCCAACCAAATTCATAGCTATTTTGCTAGAACTCCATTTGTTCTATTGATTCAGTACAAGAAACCACCCATTTACCGATTTCAACTACCCAATAAAATGGTGAGAAATTGGCAATTTGGCCATGCTGTCTTGGATGTCTTGAAAAACTGGAAGGACGTGTGTCATTCTTTAACAATTACTTGGGTGCTGCCTTTTATACTTCATTTATCAAAACCACAGCCTAAAAGTGGTAGCAGGAGCAGCATTCAGCGACTCTATAGGTGCTTCCTTAGCTCTGGAAGTTCCCTTCAAACATTTGAAAGAACTGTGGAAGTGCATAGATCATTATCTGATGAAAGACCCCTCCACTAACCAGCTGGCCACCGAAGTCATTGCTAACATCAAGGATTAACTTCCAAACTTCCTAAACTCAGCACTGATGGATGTCCAGCTGCATGAGAATTACTCTGAACTACTTCATTTTATTTTGCTCTTTCTTAGACTTCACCACCTTGTGGTACACGATTTGCAGTTCGTGGGGAAATATAGCATGCCCAGTGGATGTTGAAATTTATCTATGCTTTCAAGGTGTACACATTTTGCTCCCTGTTTTGCTGAATGGTGCACAGCACAGAGGAAAAAGACTTTCAATGTATTTTCATTTTCATTACAAGGCTTGGACGACAGCCCCTCTTGCCATAGAGTACCACAGGGAAACCTGAATCTCCTCCAGTCCCATGACATTGCAAAAGATAGCCAACCATCTGTCGTCCATGAAGGAGGAATTGAAAGGCTTCTCCCTGTTTGATGAGTGGCACTAACGACATTTGGGACTACATGATCAAGGGTATCTCAGACAATAAGCGACATTGGGGACCTTCTGAAGTGAATGTTTTTTTGGCTGCACTGAAGATAACTCAGTTGCTGACTTTGCATCCAAGAACACCAGGTCCCTCCTTGCCAAACTCAAGCTCCCCTGTGGCTTCCTGCAAATCCCTGCATTGTAATGGGAAAATGAGAACTATCAAGCAGTTGGGGCTACAGCAATGACACTGACCAAACAGCATGGATTTGCATTGCTTAAGGATTTTACAAGGCACTCCAGCTGGCCGGTGACCACTGGTCAGACTCTCAAGTGGACCCTATATGGGCATATTGGGAGCAACAATGAGTGACCAGTGAATGTCTGGTACCCACTGACATTTCCTGTAACCTTATTCAGTATACCACTTATACAATTTTTGAAGAATTCTAGCCATGATGTGAAACACAAAGCAGCAGCAGCTAGTAAAAGTTTCTATGTCAGGGAAATTCTTACAAGTCACATATAAAATGAAAAGTGAAAAATCTTCCGGTGTTTACCTGGAGTTTACCTGGAGAGAGTTCCGGGGGTCAACGCCCCCGCGGCCCGGTCTGTGACCAGGCCTCCTCATGTTGTCAGATGTCTGGGTTATATAGAGAGGGAACCAAGTGACTGCTAATTATTAAAAA